CCGAACATCAGTCAAGTTTATACATTCAGGGACTCACTTAAGGATTCATGTTGAGGCACTCATGCCAAAGCACATGAGTTGCTCTAACCATGAAGCCAATCACAAGCAACACGTGTCAACATCAGAATAAAATCCTAAAGTCCCACATCGACCACTGACGAAAGTGTGTGACTCTCCTAAACTATATAAGGAAACATTTATCCTACAATTAATTCCTAATATCATCATTTTGTTTAGTTCATTATTAGAACTTACTAATGATGATTATGCTTGGACTTGTGTACTATATAAAATCCACATTATTAATGAGGACTCCTCTAACCTTATGGGTGTAGCCAAACTAGGATGAACCATGTATATCCTGTATTTGTTCATCTATCTCTATCTCTTTACATATTATTCTCATTAAGTGACCGGAACAACATTACAAAAGATCACACCTTGAATGTTACGCTGTTCCAAAATTCATCTAATTTTTTGTGTCAACACATATCATTCTTTCTATTTCAGCAACAAAAATTTTAATTATAGCATTTGCTCTCTTGGCATTGGCAGCAGCGTATTATAAAGAAAATGACACAACGTAAACAAAATCCCATAAAGAGCAAAAGTAAAATGGTATTTGACATGGACCACCACTACGTATATGACCAATATCATTCCCGCATGTCCAATCCACTGAAATTAACCCCTTCAATGAATATATTGCTCGTCAAAGTCCATCTATGTGATTGATCGAGCTTATGATCACGCGGTCCAATTCCCATCACAAAATGCCAGGAAAAGGCCATGCCATATATAATATAGCATGAAATAAAGTACGAATCAAACTATATGGAAACCATTTCGACCAATAAAAAAAAAACTATATGGAAACCATATTATTTCATGATAAGTAGACCCCGCAAACAGAGAATTTTTGGAATTAATCAACTCCCTAAAAGTTAGATATTTTCATCTTTTTTCATGTAGTTGAATTAGAGATATTTTCAGTCGACAAACACATTCAAAAGTTAAAGTCCACGAATATTGGAGTGAGATATTTGTTGAGATATTCCATGCTCTCTTTTTGTTGAGTTGATAAGTATTTTCACGTGGCAAATCAAAGCCTCTTCACAAATCGACCCTGCTACACCAAAAAAATAATTTCAAATTTTCAGGATATATTAATTAGGGGAAGATAGAGAGAGAGAGAGAGAGAGAGAGAGAGGACAAAAACCTTGAATCTAGGTCTTTTATCTGCATTGAGCTTGCGGACTTGGTACCTTATCTTTTTGGAAAAGAGTCTACACTGGCGTTTCTCCTTGTACCTTAGAACTCTTGCCTCTCTTCTTGCCTTCTCATCTTCCATTACTGGCACCTCCCCTATCTGATGTTCATACACAATTAATTAACATAACATCCTGGTTAATTAAGCGGCTCATGATATATATAAACCCACTTCATTTATTACAGTATGTGTAGAGTTTAACATTTAAAACCAATCTCAATTGATAATGTGATCATGTGGGAAAAAAAAAATTAATACAATAATTTACATACTACAAACAAAATTATTTCATTCATCTTAAAAATAAAAACTAAACTAAAATATTGTACACCATTTAAAGGGTTTTCCATACCTCGAGCATTTTGAAAAGGGAAGCGCTATGCTCTCATGTTTACGACGAGTGTTATTTATACTTCTTCACAAAAGTGAAGAGAACACAACAAAGAGTGTGAATAGCATTTCTCTTTTGGAACAAAGAACAAAGAGTGCAGAAGATCAAATGCATGTTATATCAATGAGATCCGTTTTCTTTACAATTGGGGAAACAGGAACTATGAAACAAGGTCAGAAAATAGTAAAAGGATGATAACATATAATAAAGTTAATCAAGCACTAACATAATTGCCATTGCTAGCCATGGAAGAAAGTGAACAATCATCTGCCCAAAGGGTACCGCGATCAGACCAAGCATCCATAACCTCTTGATAATTCAAATTCAAATTCAGCCGCACCTTCTTCTCATCATCATCATCCCAAAACCCTAAACTCTCACACTTTACAACATTTTTTTTGTAGTAGCTCTCCTCTTCAAAGAAGCACTTATCAGTGCCTTGCTCAACTTTTTGCTCTATCTCCTCCCCTTCTTCTTCTCCATTGGGAAACTCGTCCCAATGCATAAAATCCCAATTGAGCTCGTGACCGCTGTACATGTTATCGCTCGGTAATTTTCCATCTTCTTCCATTTTGATTCCCAAAATTTGCTCCCAATCATCCATGATATCAACCTCATGATCATTGTCTCCATTGGTGTAAGCATCATCTAATTTTGTAGTATTAGTGTCTGAGAATTCTTCACCAGAATTATGGGTACTGTCCGGAACTTGTTGCTCTTCCTTCTTTAGGCTTCTTAAGAAAGAATGGTACCTCATCTTATCCTTGTTCGATCACTCTCTTTTCTACTACCCAAATTTGAATTTAACAGATGATGAGAGATGTGAGAATAAGATGTAAGTGGGAATTTGTATATATGGTATGTTTATCCTATGTGGCACCTTATCTTCTAACCATTGGCTGATTCAAGGCCTCATTATATATCACTTGAAAGACTCCAGCTAGGAAAACGGACAAAGGGTAAGGATGACCAATTACATGCCTTTTTACTTCATAAAAAAGAGGAGTTGGGGACCAATTCAAACACTTGTTGAACTGTTGCATTAAGAAGAACGTGCCCTAAATGGGCTGATAAAAGCAATAATTTAGATATTCATAGTAGGATTTTGTTCTGTGCGTGCCGCTGCACGTAGTTGCAGTAGATTCGAGAAGGAAGGAGAAAACGTATAAAGAAGCCCCATATGGTGTTGTTGGTATTCGACAGTTTGTGGGGCGTCGTTGGTCGTGCTGATATTATATCCAATGCCCATCGTGTGCAGCAGTCTAGCAGTAGCAGTTTGCAAAGCGTATAACCCTAGAAAATATACGACATTTTACTTTAAATGGGGCTTCTTCAGAGAAGTTACTGTTCGGAACTCACGTATAACCCATCTAATCTTACTACCTAGTGTGACATTGAAAAATCTCCGTGTTATTTGAGGAGATATATCTAATCTTAATATCATTACGAGTAGGAGATATATCTAATCTTAAATCTTGGTGTTATTTGTGGATGCAAATTTCCGCATTCCTTTGATTGACGAATCTGCACCTGAAAAATAATAACACATAAAATTAAGGCCAAAAGCCTCACGTGCCCACGATGAATTAGGAGGGGGGAGCTTTGGCCGAAAAATCTCCAATGCCAAAGTTAGAATTCTGAAAAGAATGTGAGTGTTTGTGGGAAGCAAAAAAACATCCTTAGGCATAGCTAAAGCATATTGAATTTTGGAGATAAAATGGTGTATTTATAGGAGAGGATAGGAGTATGGGCCAGCCCTCTAGGGTTTAGGGGTGGCCTGCCCTAGGTGGTATTTTGGGTGGAATATTCTAATATATTTGTGTAAATAAATATTTTAGAATAATTAGGTAAATATCCTAAATAAATAGGATTATGAAGAAGTCTTCTCTAATTTGGAATGTATTTATGATAAGGATAAGGGATTATTCTATCATAAATACTTTTGACTTTTTCTATAGGCAGGGTGCCTTAAGCAGTCGTTGATCATCGCCTACTTTACCTCAGCTGCGTGTGGTGAATGAGACTGCTCCTTGCACATTTAATAAGGGCAGTTTTGTCTTTCTTGGGAAATAATCCATGTGTCGGCTCCATGTTTTTTAGGATTATTTTTTGGTCCACAAATGTCCTACACCTGCTGGGCTGCTCGCAGGAAAGGGCATGAGGTGTAGGAATCCAAAGCTGCAATGGAGTTTGTGTCCCAATTTGATGTAGATTCCCTCTTTGACTTGGAATTTAAATTCTTCTAGGAAAGGGAATGTAATTGCCACCAAAACCTATTTAAGTTTGCTTCAAGCAGGGGAATTAAATAAATTTGGAGTGTAACTAAAACCCTGCAAGAAAGAGAGAGCCAGAGCATATTTGTTCCCCTTTCTTAGCAATTTTTTTCGCTTGCCTATACAAAGAATTGTGTTCTATTGCTTTTCTTCTTTTTCAAGGTAAGAAAAAATTTATTTTCTCTTTCTTCTTGATTTTTGGGAGCCTCAGGACTTGAATTTTGGCTCAACGGAGGTAAAAAAAGTGGTAAAAAGTGGCAGTCGTGGGGCTGATGTGCTGCTGTGGTGGCAGCTTGGCTGCTACATAACGCGGCGGTTGGCTATGCCGAAGAGGTCAATGGTAAGGCGCGTGGACCTACGTTTTGGGCTGCTGGGCTCAAGTCCATGAAGCATGGGAGATACAGGAGAGAGAGTGAGAGAGTAGGGCGCGAAGGCGCCGACCCCTTCTTGTTGGTTTGGGCTGTAAGGGCCTGCTGGGCCGAGAGAGAAATGGGGAACCAACGCGGGCTGGGCTCCCTGCTACTACGCCGTGAGGGTTGGATCGTGGGGCCTGGTGTGAAACGCTATAGTCTGCGGCCTTTTTTTTTTTTTTTTTTTCTTCGAACAAACTTCGAATAATTTTTCCTTGTGCCGTTGTAGGATTTTCGAACATGTTTTCCTCGAGCCACAAGAATGATGAATTTATTCCGCCACTATATCGTTAGGGTGGATTTGCAAGTAAGCTAGGCTATTTCAGGGCTGCTCATGTTAAGCTATGTTTCGATGAGCAGTTCAAAGACTTCCTCGAGATGTTTAAGCATGCAATTCCGTTTGGAGTTCGCATGAAGCAGATCAAGGATGGTACCAGCTATGAATCGTGTGGCTATAAGAAAGCTATCAAGTTTCACCTTTACTACTTTGTGTTAAGGTTCACATTTCCTATGCCTCGATTCTACCAGGAGTTGTTCTACTCCATGAAGTGTGCTCCTGCTCAGTGCTATCCGAACTCTATTCTCGTGATGGTGGGTTCCATAACTTAAGCAAGTTATTTGATATAGACTTGACTGCTAACAAGTTTTGGTACTTCTTTGACATATGCCATATCGATAGCGTTAAGCAGTTGATGACCCGTCATAGGCTCTTCGATCAATCGAGCAAAAATGATCATAACTGGTCTAGAAAGACCCTGAAGATCAGCGGATTGCATAGTCTCTAAGCTACTTTATTCTTTTGTTGAGCATTCTTCTAATTTGTCCTCCTTTTTTTATGTAGATATGAAATTCAGTTCAACTCCCAAGGCTTTTCCATACATGAAGAAAGTGCACACCATTTTAGGGATCCCTACCGAATACCGTAAGTAGAGTTGGCTACTTAGTCCTCTTTGTAGGGAAAAAGGTAGGCTGCCTGCATTAAAAGAGATTATGAAGATCAAAGGTGAGGAGTTTGCTCATCCAATCACCATTGTGGAACCTATTACAAGCGAATGCGGGAGAAAGAGATCTTCATCGCCTGCTCGAGAGCAGTCGGTGGAGAAAAGGTCAAACACTTCTTCTGCTAAAGGCTCGTCCACTGCTGGGAGATTTGTGATTAACTTGACTTCTTCAAAAGGGAAGAAAAAGGCTATTAGATTTGAGCTTGTGAAATCTGCTGGTTCGAGGATTACTAGAACTGTTGCTAAAAGAATTATGCAGTGCAGAAGTTTTATCGTGTCCCTTGTGCCTGGTTTATTCCAAGACATCCTTTCATGCCCAAGTCCAATCTGATTCTGAAGGTGCGTGCAGCGGCGAAGAATGAGGATGGCGATTCCACTGCCAAGTCGGTGCCATGGCCAGTCTTTCCTGTTGAGAAAGAAGCATATGCTCACACAAGCATTCGTGATCATCTTGCTAAACCAGCCTCAGGGAAGTTTTTCAAGATCCATGCGTTGTTGAGACCTGATCTGCTTAAGGACACTAAAGCATGTGCCAAGTTTGTTGGTGGCATGAGCAAATTTGTTGACTCCAGTTTTTTTACGAGGCTTGAGGTTCAATTGCGAAGGGTTTCCTTGTTTGCTATGATGCATAAATCTATGATCTTGGCAGCCGAGTACACTCATATGAAGCAGGATGACGCCAAGGCTGCTAAGGAAATAACGGCAACCATGGTAGTAAAAGCTTGCTCGGCTGCTGATAAAATTAAAAGGTTGGAATCTAAACTTGTTTTTTTAAAAAGATTTGATGTCTCTGCCCCCACTGTTCAGCAACTTGAGACCGCTCGCCAATAGATCAGTGAGTTGAAGACTTAGCTTGATGCGATCTGTGGGAGATATGGCAGTGTAGAGAATGAGATTGAAGTTCAAGCGTTGCTAGCACATGACCTTAAGCGTGTTATTTCAAAATTTTGGTATGCCCGTGATGCCAAGGATGTAGAGCTGCTCACCATGCATAATGACATGGTTCGACTCAAGAATACTGCGAATAAACTTGAGTCCAAGGAGGCGAGACTAATTAAGGAGAATAAGCAATTGAAGAGCGAGAAGTCCAGTCTTGAGGTTGTCCTTGCCCAAGGTCAAGCTGACTTCTATAAGCTTGGCTATATAGATCACTTCCTTGGCATGCTGTATGATTATGCCTTTTCTGATAATGACCTCGAGCTTTTTGCTATTTCTTTTGAGGATTTGCTTAAATTTTCTTTTGAGAGTGTTGTTGGTAAAGCAAATGTGGATTAGGCTGCCCAGGTAGGTGCAGCCGAAGGTGGTGCTGCCCAGGTAAGGGCGACTGATGATAGTGCTGCCTAAGATGAGGCAGTTGAAGGTGAAGCACGAGAGGTTGATGCTGCTAGAAGTGATGTGGCAGCTGACGATGTTTACTAGATCTTTAATCACAAGGTCATTAGCAAAGTATGCTAATTTTTAATAAGCAAACAGGCTTCCATGACCTATATAACTGCCGCTCTAGGCTTAGGACCTCTGCAAAGCTGTAAACTAGAGAGTCAGCAGCCAAGCGTCTTACTTACAGAATCAGGCGAGTCTCATAACTGCTTGGTTGTTAACTTCGATCTTCAAGGGCGTTGAACTATTGAGCTTTATCTCGCATTGTTACCCTTTAACCATAAGCTGCTTAGTTAGTTGTCATTTCTCCAAACCTTTGAGCTACGTGGCCTGGTGTAAACTTGTAAGTGCACATGATAGTCATAATATAGCGTTTTGCAAGTCCAAGTATTGTTCCCACGAGGATTCTAATTCAATCTCCGATTTGATAAACCAAACCAAATCTAATTATATTAAATACACATAAACCCAAAAATATAAAATATAAACCCAAACAACAAACTAGACTCGATCTTAATTAATAAATCAATTAAAGATGTGAAGAGTTTGTTGTGATGATTTTATAAACAAATAAAAACAGAACCTTAAATAAAAATTAAAATTAAAGAGAAGAAAACGTTGTGTTTTAAAGCAAGTGATGAAAAAGTCTAGGGATTCAGAATCAACCACAAGCAATCTAGTTCATGTTTCATTGCATTCAATGGATCTTTCGATTCTATAGATGATAATTCCCTAAGTCCTTGTCAGGCACATTAGACCATAGTTTTCCTTAAGTGAA